CTCTAGGAGGCTAACTCAGAAAACCCAGGCTACAAATGATTCACAGTGATTCACAGTTTTTTGACTATTGCAATGGTCGAATCAGTCCCAATAAGAGGTTTCTCTAGGAGGCTAACTCAGAAAACCCAGGCTACAAATGATTCACAGTGATTCACAGTTTTTTGACTATTGCAATGGCCAGGCACCTGGTAAAAGCCGCAGTGAGGTCACCTGGCGCAAACCGTAACACGGATATCAGTCGCATGATGATGTCACTTGCCCCCTTGCAGACATCATGCTGAAATTCACCCTCCATAAAGCTGCCTTTGCTGGTGATTCAGAAACTGCAGTGGCATCGCTGCTAACAGGTAATAAAACACTGGTTACTTTAGTCACTGCTTCGGGAGCAATAAGCTTCAAAGCACTGGTGCTAACCAGAAAGCCAGTAATTCATAAATATATGGCAAGACCTTTATGGTGTGCAAAACTGTGTTCCCCTTCTCCTTAAATTTTGGTTAACCACCCCATCGTACCGTATTTTAAAAAATGGCATTCCTTGCTCTTAGGACATCTCTCTTGTTGGCCTGCAAAGCTATCATTTGCTACTAGGTGGCAGTCTATTCAGCATAATCAGGGACCGAGCTGGCAAAATGCATATTTGCTTGAAGTACATATCGGATATACTGTCTTTTCTATGAATCCAAGGGCAGCCCAGGTCTTGCAAACCAGGCAGATGAATGGCATCCAGATGTGGTTTATTACAGATGTTCCCCCCCCCCTATAATTGTAAGGGTATGCTTGCACCAACACTTATAAATCTCAATCATAAATCCGGTATTCAATGACTTGGTTTTACTTAATCATGGTTTGTAGACTAAAGCACAACGGGGTTCACATTAAGCTATAAACCATGCCATACACCCCACAATGGCTGGGAATGCACAATATTCTATAATAGAATAATATATCCCAACGAAAAAGCAGCACCACAATATTAGAGCTCTGTACAATGTCTGGCTGTGCTTCTACGTAAACCTTAAGGGTTGTTCACTAGAGTTGAAGGGAGTTGAAAAGCTACAGCACAACAGGAGAGGCAGTTAATAACTCTTAAGCATTGAACTTAATGATCATTTAGGGCCCCCTCTTTAGTTAGAAATATTTATTAGTTTGCCTGGGGGGGGGTTGGTGCACTCAACTGAGCGACCCCCCCAGACTTAAGATGCCAATTCCTACATTACTGGCATCGCTATCTGGGCAACATCATAAACATCTCTAAACATGGTACATTAGCCTTGTTTCTCAGTGATGGTTTTCTGGTATCTGAGATTTTTGAGAGTTGGGGGGCTTAGGAACAGCAGCTTATTTAATCAATCAACACAAAGGCCCAGTGTAGATCATTTCAGCAAACAGAAGACGAGGAGCCAAATTTTACTCAGCAATATGGGCTGCTTAGGGAATAACCGATATGCAATGGGAAGATTGGGAAATTCCACCTTGTTATTTCAGCTCTTTTCCTGCTCAGGGTACAACTCACTTATCTAATGAATGCAGAACCATTGTCATAAATTTATTCTATTACCACCCTGACACGCTGGCACTTCCCCAGTTGCAATAAATCATCATATTATATGTACTAGAAAGGGTGTTTTGGTTTAGTAGTGTCAGAATGAGAAAGAAGAAGGAGTTCTATTGCCTCTTGGGCAAAAGTTAAAGTTGCTGGATAAGATTTAAAGGGGGCAATCCTTTACATACATGGACAGTTATTCATTTTTCACAAAGAGGGAGATGCATTCTTTTTTTAGCCTTAGCCCAGCTTTGTTCCAAGGAGCTCAAAAGCAGAGCAAAGCAGGGCGATCAGCAGCCTTTCCCCAAATTTTAAAAGGCCTTCAACAGAGTTATCGCAGCCTTGGGTAGGAACTCTGTATCCCTTCCTTGCAATTGCTGTTGGGGAGAAGAAAAGGGGATGGACATAGGGCTGCCTATATCTAGATGGACACCAGATATCAGCAAAGGGATATGGAAACCGCAACTCTTTGCTGCCATCTGTGGGTGTCTGGATTTTTTTTTCCAGCCCTAATATGGTAGCCCTAATCAGAAAACCAGAGCTCAAGAGAAAAGGCTTAGCTGAGAAAGGCAGAATAACTTCATTTTCCGGCTTCATCAGCTGTTTGTGGCCCTTGAGTTTACTGCAGAGGGAATGTGGACCTTGGCAAAAAGAGAAGGAGGAGGGTAACAGTGATGGCATTACTATTTTCATCGTCACAAAGCACTGAACATTTCGAGTTGAGGGCTGGTGGGCGTTGTGGGACAAGGATTTGCGTACCATCTTGAGTTATGGGAAGAAAAGCTGGTTATCAATATGCTAACCCACATTTGGAGGGCTACACATTTCCCATCCCTGCACAACTAACCTATGGATGTGTACTGTGTAATAACAATAATTACAACAGCTGCATATGGTCTCAGTGTGCTTGACAGAGAAGAAATCCCTGTGTCTAGGAAACTTACCATCTAAAATCTAACACATAAAGAAACAAAAATGGGGAAATGGGGTAGAGATTGCAGGTTCCAAATACATTAGGGGAATGTCTAAATCAGTGTTTCTGAACCTCAGCAACTTTAAGATGAGTGGACTTCAACCGCTTGGCTGAAAGAGAAAAAGGGGACTTCAACATGCTCACTAGGGAATTCTGGGAGTTAAAGTCCGCTCATCTTAAAGTTGCTAAAGTTGAGAAACAGTAGTGTAAATATTATCCAGCACGTGGCACTGTATCAGTAAAAGCCTCTCTGATTTGGTAACCTTAAACCAGATTTGATTTTATTTTTTTTTATACTAGGGTTTCAAAACTTCCTCTAATTGCATTTTGAAAATAAATCATGTTAGGAGAAGTTCCAGCTACAAGGCTGCAGTAGTTTTCCCACCCTCGTATCACAAAACTTTCACTTCCAATCACATGTCATATGCTGATTTGCATGTGGATACTTCAGTACTGGTAATAGCTATTGACAAGGCTTTGAAGAAGAAAAATTCCACCATTGGGTGAAAAAGCTGAAGCTCTTTAGCTCATTATCAAGCAACAGACCACACATTCTTGAAAGCGCTGCTAAGAGTCAAGTCCTTCCTCTTTGTCCTGTGATTATTTTTCAATGGAAAGCTACAACTTCTTTTATGTTTACACCTTGGTGCAAGATTACTTGAAATACATTTGTCAAGAGACTCAGCTTGCAGCAGCCCCAAACAGAGTTGCTGAAGTCCTACGTAAAGCTGGATCTTCTCTTCAGAAAGAAGTTGAAGGCAACCTGAGACCGTACATTGACTTACTGGAGGTTCACTCTGTGGAAGAAGCCAGTAGCATTTTCAACCAAGTGATGGAAAATGAATTTGCTGATGGGAAAACTAACTGGGGGCGCATTTTGACAATATTCCTGTTTGGTGGAATCCTGACCAAGAAACTCCAAGAACCTTTGGCAAAAGAAAATCTGGATCAGGTTTCTCATTTCATCACAGACTATATCATAACCACCAAAGCAAAGTGGATCAATGAAAATGGAGGATGGGTAAGTCCTCATCCTGCTTTTTAGATTTGCTAGTTTCAGAATGGTAGACTAAAAGCTCACAGAAATGGATATTAATGTAACTGACAGCTCATAATTGTGCAAATTGGAGTATCTGCTGCATCTTTGATCGATTTCACAATGCTGAATTTTTGTGCCGACCCCACCACTTCTAGGGTACTGCATTTTTTGCTGAAACACTGCCTTATACCGGTTGTTAAGCAAACAAATATCCATAAATAAAAAGAACAAATATAAATCTATATTTATATTTATATTTAATATATTCACATCTAGATCATTTAATATATTCAAATCTAAATCATCTGTAAATGTATTTGTATGATAAGATGGAAAACTTACATTTTGATGACTAGGAGTATGAACGAATAAATATTCTGATAAATATTGTCTTATAAAATACAACTCAGTAGTACAACCCAGTAGAATTCTATCTAAAACTCAATTCCACAGAGTTCAATGGCTTTATTTCTAGGTAAGTATGGGTAAGATTATTCCTAAAGATCAGAAAAATTCACTAACATGGTAATAAGACTGTGGAACTCTGTGGAATTCTGTTTCTGAATGGGTAAGTGGCATTTATTAAATGCCACCTCGCTCCTTTTGGTTTTAATAACGTCTTCCAGGCAGCTTACAGGCAATGTATTTACAAAAAGTTGCATATTAAATGAAAGTCAGCCTTCTCTGCTTTTGGGTTTTATTTTTACTAATTATTTGCCTTGAAACATAGCAAAAAGGAAGAAAACACACAGTATTACCCGCAGAGAAACAGGAACTTGCAAAACGCCTGGCTTGTTTTCTACATTCCTATGAAACGTGGCAAAGGGTATTGGCAAAGTACAGTGCAATCTTGAAAATATTGATTTCCAATTAACCCAGCAACCTTTCTGGGATCTTCCACCGAACAGTACTCTACCTTCCATCATTTCAAAGACACGCTGTATTTAAGGGAAAGAAAAATGATCCTGCATTTAAGAAATCAGAACTCCCCCAAAGTAAGTCAGATAGAAAAAGACTCCTGGCTGTATCCTCTGCAAACCTAAGATGGCTTTTTCACTCTGAAGTTTGGGGAAAACCCCAAATCTTCCTTTCAGGTAGTTATAGCAATTCTCTATTCCTCTACATGAACAGTTCTATTAATTGATCCTGATGCTGCACTGAGACTTTGGTGTGGGTGTATTTGAGAACCACATTTACATGGTTTCCCCTTGGAGTTTCCATTCAGCTTCTACAAAACAGAACCAGGTTTCTGTATCAGAGAGGCTATTTCTCTACAACCATTTGAGCAACACTGTAATAAACCGTGCCTCATTTATTACAGCCAGCTTGGCTTCAGGCAATATGCTGAGCCATAGAATAACCCAAAGAACTGGGTTCATGTTACACTATTAAGGCCCAAATAAGACTTAATCACATTCCACACTAACAAAATTTACTGTGTTATGTGACACCAGCTACTGAGTCTTCAGCTGACCTGGGGTAAGCCTATTGTATGAACACAGCCAGTCTTTTTCTGATTCTGCAAGCAGTTCTGTGACTCTCTCCAATTCTTCTTGCTGGGGTAAAAATCTTGGAATCATCTGAGGGAAACCTTAACACATAATTATACCTATACATCTGTCATGCCTGTGTGTATTTTTAAAAATTACAAGCTTCCTAGGTTTTTTTTTTTTTAAAGGCTGTTCAAAACTTTCCTTGACTCTTGCAGGCACCATGATACCTCTGAATCCACTAGATGGCACCAACAAACCTTTAAAATAAAAATAAAACCCTACAGTTGTTTTTAAATTTAAAAAAAAGGCATAATTAACATGTAACAAAAAGTGGCTGAACTCTTGCGAAAACAGATCTCATCAGATTTGGCTCATGTTTACCCTTAATTTGAAACATTTAAAATTATTGTTTTGACAGGAGGGTTGGCCCCCACGGCATGGTTTAAGTCATAAGATGCTCATCTCCTGAAAAGGATGTCAAAATACAGTGTGATTTGCAAGCCACAACAGCTGGGGTCACCCAAAACACTAGGTGAAAACCAAATAAGGCTTTATGTACTATGTACACAGCTTCAGATCTCAACAACTCTCAATAATCTCAATCTCAGTCTCAACAACATCACCCTCTCTCTCTTTGCTTGCAGGACAATGGCTTTATGACAAAATTTGAGGATAAAGGCTCCTGGATATCCTTATCCAGTCTGAAGACAAAGATCGTGGCTGTTTTTTCCCTCTTCAGTCAATATCACTCATAAACCCAGTCAACGCTTTCTTGAGGATGTTACATTGGGATGACTTCGGGAAACAATTCCTCTTAGTAGAAAACTGAGACTGCTTTATTAAGCTCAAGAAGGAAGGAGGGAGGAATACTACATTTTGAATTTTATATATGTTATTTATAATATAGATATCGATATATATATTTGCCTTCTCTGGAAATGATTGCAGATGTCAGTGGGCAGTAAAGCAAGCGTTTTAGCAACTCAACACGGAAATTGTTTCTATTTGGCCAAGGGTGGTGCTCAAGATTTCTGAGAGTGGTGGGGCTAGTATAGGTGGGACTATGACACAAGCTGCATGGAGCCATGTTGTGTTAGTGTGTTCCACAAAAGTAGCCAGAGAGGGGTCTTTCTTGTTTGCAAACTAGCTAGCTGTTTCATGACAGACCCTTTGGTTACGAAATTTAAGCCAGTCTCAGTCCCAGAAGTAGGCTGTACAAGAAAATAATCACGCGGGGCCTGAGTTCACCTAACATGCTAAATCATGATTTCTTTAAACACAAAATAAGTCATAAACCACAATGGCTTAGCTCACAGGGCATGATAAAGTACAAATAAGCGAACCATTGTTACAACTTAGCGTGCTGCTTGGACACAGCTGTACTCAACCACAGCTCCCCCAGTCTTCACTGGGTGGACCACAGGCCTTATACTCATTAACTGTAGCCAGCCCTACCATTAAACATTGTTTGGGTCCACATATGCTAGATTATTGTTTGCTTAATTAGGGTTAACTGAATACATAACCATAACCTTGAATTATGAGATTAAATCATAACATGATGATAATTTGTTCAGTAAATAGGGACACTGAATGCACCAAAACTGATCATACAAAGCCAGAAGCTAGGGCTGAGCAAATCTCATTTCAGTAGGCCAGGAGCCCCTTCTGACCATCTCCCAAGATATAATGCTCTGTATTCTGGGCCTGGAACATTCTGGTTTTTTCCCTGAACCGGTCAGTCTGGTTCTTCCTGAAAATTTTAAGTAAATCTCTCAGAACAGTAGACTGGTTGTGGTGTTCTGGATGGGAATAGCCTGATCCCCCGAGCAGCTGGATCACCCTGTTCCAGGAGGAGAAGGGAATGTTTTGGGGAAAATAATTATGTTCCATGCCTCAAAGTTTTGCACCTCCTCCTCCAGCTCTTTTTGTTTGTTTTTGCGTACAGTAATCACTTACCACTCCCCCAACGCCCCCCAAAATCTTATATATAATCCCGAGGTGTGGAAAGGTGGCCCACCCTGCCATAAACTGTGTCTTACAAACCACAATGGATGGGTGCTCACAATATACTAAATCAATTAAACAAACTATAAAACGGCACTCTCATTATACAAATTAAGTGGCATCATTAGCAAGCAGCAAGTTGGCTAAGAAGGGAGATCATGTGATCTCTAGGATGATCTATTATTACCAAAGAACTGCTTTCCCCACGCAATGAAAGCTACAGAAGAGGAATGAATGCATGAACCATTCCATGCACAGAAGAGTTGCTTCCAGCTGCTTTCTGCCCAAACTGAAAGATGCACGATTCGATGTTTGATGCACGCACAGAACAAAATGGTACGGGGACATCAGCAATGGTGGCCAAGTGAAAGGAAGGTTGTAGGGTGGGGAGTGGGGAACAGAAGCAGACCAATGGGACATTTTGTTCTAGGGAAGAAAAAAAAGAAGGCTGGCTATGCGTCAACCTTGTCCTACTCATCTTCCCTGTCTTTTGCTTCATCTACAGCAATGTTTCTCAACCTTGGCAACTTTAAGATATGTGGACTTCAACTCCCAGAATTCCCCAGCCACCGCGGGTGGCGTGGGGGGATTGGGGGGGTGAGATCACAAATATTATAAATTTCCAGGGGGTGGAAAAATTACTGTGTGGAAGACACAAA